ACCATCGACACGGATGGGTTTGGGATATTTTTGGGGACACTTTTTTGGATTTTTTTGCCCGAAAAGCGTTTCTATCGATGCCTCTCGTCCAAAATAAGGTAAAAAACGTTGATTTACATATGCTGTCTCAGATAAAACTTCGTTTTTATTTAATTTCGGTGCGAAAAAAGGATTTTTGTCGATCGTTTTTGGCTCATTTTTGGGAGAATTTCGAGCGGAGTCTCCTCCCTTGTCACTATATATATATGTGACAAGGTTGTGTGACATTTACCATATTTGGATTTGTGATCTCGCGTGAGCGATCACGCATTATTGTCCGTTACATGAATAAAATTCAGTTCTGCTCTAGCCAGCGTAYCTGGCCGGTACGTTGGTTRGGTCTGCCAAACAAATTGCGTTTTTATTTTATTTCTTCGGTATTTTGAATGTTGAACACCAARAAAGAACTCAACGAGAACCACTTGGTCACATATACATGGAGGGGAAATTTTTTTAAACCCATCTATAATGCATTGTGACACTGAATAAAATAAAAGTAGACCATTTTTTTAAGTAAAATTTTATTTTTAACCATTATAGGTTCAAAGTCACTGCTTGGGTTCCCTGTGCGCGTATCCTGGRCAATGTGTATCCTGGACAATGTACGTTATTTGTGATTAGCCAACATAATGAGAGCATACAATCGCTAATGTATAATGCAGCGCCCAAGATGTATTGTAACCAAGCCCTTTAAAAACCTTGATCAATTTCATTGTTYTTTTATTCACGGGTTTAATGTCTCCACTTTTTGCTAATGTCTCTTTTTCTGTTCATCCAGAGCGCGCGCTCATCCTGTGACGTAATATGACGTAACAGTTGTGTTTTGTGGTTGGTTTTCTTTGTCGTTGAACCTAAAAAGCAAAATGTCTTTCAATGCAAGAATGTTAGATAAGAAGAAGGGAATACTTCCTGCAGATTTGGCCGCAGCGTATAACGCATACCACGCCAACAAAGCTGAGGAAATGCGACTGTTTAAAACTCTGAAAATACTACAATGGCAACAACAAATCGCGTTAAAAACAATCAAAAAAGAGAAAGCACAACTCGAACAGGAACTTAAGAACCAGGCTGAAGAGTACTTCCAGTGTCATCGAGTATTTTCTGAGGAATCTTTGATATCTATTACAAATTCACTGAAGAAACTGTACATGGGACCTTTCCCCACTAAAGCCGTCCTCCCTAAAGGAAAGCTCTATCATCTCAAAACACTACTACGACAAATGCAGGATGAGCTGTATGTCCCCTCAGCAGCAAGACGACAAGCAATAACTGGATGGCTCTTGATTCCGACCTTTAGCCAAAACGATTTGAATCGAGAAACTGTGGACGATACACAGATAGAAGGTGAAAATAATTATCAAAAACATCCAAACTTATCAACAAGTGAGAAAAAGGATTTTCCTTACAAAAGAAATGCTGAAACTGCACAATCTCTAAGGACCCAGTCAGCCCCAGCGCGCAGTTTAAACCGCAAGCATGAAACAGCAAAGCGACCGAAAACAACAATAGCCAAGCGAGGCAAAGGTGAGGATGATAAATACTAAAGAATAAAATGCACTGATGATCAACATTGAAAAAAATTTCCCTCTTTGATTGTTAAATAGTTGGATCTGAGAGACATTCAGTATCGTCTTTCTACTATGCTGCTACAGGTAGTMTTCAGTAGTGATACGTATCCCTGTAGCGTCAAAAGTATCTTTCTCAAAGTATATTAATCTGTTGCACATTACTGATACAGATTGACATGTTTTAATAATTATGCCATGATAATTTAAAGATGAAAGATCACTAGCCTCAAAAACTCATCAAACTTATGAGCAGCTAAAAATCGTTATTATTGACTGGAATCAGAGGATCGTCCATATTGGTTTTGRTCACAGTGTTTTCATAAAGGTGTCGATTTTTAGATTTTTTTAATTGTTTTTATAGTATTTTTTTACGCGTGCACGAAAAATCAGCGGAAAACCACAAAATAAACATGGCGGACGATAATAAAAGCGAATTTTCTTCTAGTCTTGGTCGAAAAGGCTACTAACAAAAAAAGAATGAAGAAAAATCATAGAAAGATAGACAAGTCTGTGAAAACATCGTGACACTCTAAATTCAAAATCCAGCAACTTCATTGCAATTGTAACAAGTATCAGAGGCAAGTCAGCCGTTGATAAAAGTTAAAAATCAACACATGTATTTTTGTTCAGGTAAAATAGAAGTCAAAAAAAAGGTAGAAAGTGATTCCATTCAGCGACCCAAATCGTCTCCGTACTTCAATATATATAAAAAGAATGCAGCTAAACTGTTAACAATGGAAAGAGCTCGTTCAGCACTCACTAGCAAACAAAAAGATAAACAGAACGCCAAATCCTTGTCAAGAAAGATAACTGGTGAAATGATTGGACCTCTTGAAGAGAAATGTAGCAAAGAGAACAGACCACGTTCAGTTTCTCTGAATCTCAAAGAACATCCAGAACTTCCCGCACAGATTATCAAGGTATGATATTCATTAGTGCTTCAAACTAAACTAACAACTAACAGCGTTGGGGTGCTGAGATGGTCGTCAAGCTGGCCAATAGATCAGCATTCATTAATAATCAATTAATTTGTAATACTAAATGTGTAATTAAGCAATGCATTGTTTCACAACATTGCGAGTTTTGTGACGTTAGCCAGGAGCCCAGTAAAAGGCTCCTACGTTAGCCCGTTTTCTGTCGATGAAAATTTGTGGACAGTTTTAGATAAACATCTCAGGGAATGTAAGTTTGATGAAAATCTTGGATCCAAAGTAGCGCTACAGAGAATATATAGTACACCATCGTCTTCACAGACAATGTCTCAAGTCGCRCGATTATGACGTAGTACCACAGGGAGCCCGCACTTTATTAGTTAGAGCACGCTATCAAGATAAAGCGCGCTTTATTCTTTCCTTCGCCATTCCCTATCTTTTGATTACATGAAAACTGCTGAAAACTGCTAAACATAAAAAATGAATAAAATGAACTAATAATAAAGATATGATGCATTTAAGAACTGCTTCCATTTTATTTAGTCCATTTTTGGAATAACCTACTTTCTCAGCGCTATATCTTCTTTCACTACTTCTGTTTAGGATTAAGATGTAGCATTCTTAAAAATATGGCTGGTCTACATGTGAAACAAAGTGCGCGAGGAACCTTTGCAGGAAAATGTTGAATTAAAAAAAGATTCCTTTTTTCCMGTGCTGCCTTTCGACATCGTCCCGCTGCGTACCTTTTTGTTGTCATGATATTTGACGAAAGAAAAGTGGCGTCTAATGTCAAATAACAGTTTTGCCTTTTTAGAAATTTTAATTTACTTTGTCTGTGTTTTATTACCCAGGTTGCACGGAAACTTTCCTTTAAGTCGGGACTAAATTCAGACGATGAAGACTCAGATAACTCTTCTTCGTTAAATGAAGACATCGCTTTACAAGCAGACGAAACTTGCTTCCATTCAGAGCCACAACCTAAGCCACGCTGCAACAAAGGTCTCTCACCTTCTGATGACATACATCATTGCCCACGATTCAGTCATCACCAAGCCCACTCTACCCCGAGAAAAAGAAAAGTGTCAATCTTTAAGAAAACTTTGTTGGCCCATACCTTATATGGAAAACAGGTTGTCGTTGAGTCAGATTTAAGACAAAGAGTGATGCAATTCATGGACGTCAGCACAACTGATAATGAACAAGCACTAAGTAATGATATTGATTAGTTAGAAATTACTAGGAGATCGCAATGTATAGTATGCGAAATATTGTTGGCGTAAATATATTATCGAGCTCGTGTGATACATGTCTATAATGTGATCTTACAGCGCATGATCAGAAGTACAGGCCAGGCCTGGCAGGCTTGCTGTGAAAAATAATAACTGAAAGAACCTCGCTTGTTTGCATGTTCATTTCCCCGGTGCCCATCAAAAAGCCCTCTCATAATCATAAATACGCTGTATACAGTCAATAGTACAAACAGTAGCTTTGGGAGTCAAAACKTTTAATRTGATACAAGCAAAATAGCGATCAGTGCAAATGACATTTGTAAAAACTCATGCAGTATTTACGGGTATTTACGATCCACACCTTTAATGACGTCTATTTCTTGACAAAAAAWTTAACAGTGCTCTTAAAAGCTCAATTCATTGACGTAGTCTATGTGATTGTCTAAAATTGTTTTTATGATTTTGATCTCAACACACGACATCAATCCACACATGATTGATTTCACAAAATAATATCATTGCCAACTTTCTAGATCGCAAACATTTCTTGTACATCAGTTGACAAAACTAGCGTTCAATAAAAGAGAGCATTATTATGAAACTAAAGCATTGGAACAATTTTATCGACTTATATTCCAATATCTATGTATTCCATGATTATGCCGTCAAACAGCAGGAGGAGCCGAGACGGGTTTCTTGGTGAAATATATCTGTTTTTATGTCCCAGCAAGCTTTTTAAAGTCACAACTGGTTTCCAGCGAGAAATTCAGGAAAAAAAGTTATCTCCATTCAAGGAATACTTTCCTTTGAATTTTTGACAGGAAAATAAAAATGTCCTGACCATAATAACGTTATATGAAGCCTTTTTTGACCTAAAAACGTTTGCCAGGGACAAAATTATTTTAAAGAAGGATGGGCAACACATTTTACACATTTTCTTGTGAGATTGTCAATGATGTAGCTCAAAAATCCCTTTCCCAGGAAAAATTATACAAGAACAGTTATTTAGAAGAACAGACCCCGTCGGCTCCTCCTGAAGCGGTCTAATATCAAGACTGGTCTGATATCAAGACCAATACATTTTCCGGCTTAGATTTCTTTAGTTTCTATTTTTCAGTAAATAACTTCAGCTAAAATATAACCACGCAATAATAAGAAATATCTTCATCGATTTAGATAGCAATAGGTGATATTATAAAAGAACTTATATMAAATCAGTAATAAAAAACGGGAAGAAGAATAGAAATGGCTTGGCCCAACATCTTAACATTGACTTGCTTCGTATTGTCGATGTCTAGCAGTCTAATATCAAGACTGGTGCCTATAGAACAATTGGTCAATAACAATAATAATTAATGATAAAGATAATAATAATAATAATAAATGATGATAATAATTAATAATAATAATAACTTATACCTCTCGATTGATTAAATAAAACCCTCGAAGAGAAGCAGAAACAAACGAAACAAACATCAAAGCTRTACAAATAATAACAACCAGGAATGAGAAGAATGTAATGCAGTTTGATCAGAGAAGAGCTACTCACGCTATTGAACTATTGATCATCTCTTATCGAACCATTCAACCCTACGCCATGTTTTGACWCACGAAAGTTTTTGCTTCATCAGCTTGTATTTTTTAATTCCTGCAGACTTCTTCTGCGTCCGAAACGTCAATAACTTTKCTCCTTTTTGCAAGAAATGACATATCAATTGAAGTTATCAAATTAATTTTGTGTAATTTTAAAAACTTATACACTGATATTATGAGCATTATTTGTGACTTCAATTTATGTAAATGCGTTATTGTAGTCAAATGTATTGTTTTCATTTGACTCGCAGAAGCAAAGTCTTCAGCTCACACAAGTCCACCCCAGATTTCTCATTAAATAATTGATTTCGTGCATTTAACTTGTCAGTATTAAAAACTGAATTGAAAGAGAACTGCTAAGCTGAATTCTTCGTTTTCAATTCAAAGTTCAAAATAATCATAATCATATTGAAATATTTATAACTGAGACGTTTAGAGTTTGTTGAGCGTCTAGTTACTGAATAATTTTATATTTCAGTATACTGACATTATATTTATGGCGAAGAATGTATGCGGCAGCCACGTTRGAACGTGTTCAAAGATGTCTCATGTGCCCCAACATGGCTGAGTATTTCAAAGGTCGAGGAAGAAGGCAAATCGAATGTTTTTTTAATGTTTTTTTTTACAATAATGATACTTTTAAAACGTGAATACATAGATACTATAAGTCTAAATGATCAAATTGATATTGAKTTTTTTCGCTAGACTTGGATAAATGCCATAAAACCATGGCGTGATACAATTCAAGACTAAATATATAGGGAACTTTACTGATTTATAAACCCAAATCTTCGCAATGTATTTTTATACTAATAGTCACAGGTCATCATATAACTGGTGTTTTCATTCGATCTAAATTTCAAACATCGCACTCTTGTTGGAATCTCGCTCTACCAAATGTAACCTTGCATTGAAGGCGTCGATTTGATTTATTCGTGACTAATATTTTTCAATCTTTTTTGCAACTATTTTTCGTGAAGGCAAATATATTTCTTTCTTTGACTTCTGATATGYAGTCAAATTTGCGTAAGTATACTCGAGTGCGCTGAGTGTTTGTGATCAACATACTGACGTAAAGAGGGAAACCCAATCATGAGACTCAAAGAAACTAGATGAAAGATGTGAGTTTTTGATGCCGGTTAGCTGCCTTATCTTTAATATAACTTGATATAACTTACTTATAACTTAAAAACACTAACAACTGTAAACACAACTTTGTATTGTAGCAATCAAGTGGCATATATCATGAAGCACTTAAAGTAGTTGAGCACTTACAAGCCAACACTACACAATTATCAAAACTTTGAAATTTCTTTGCTCTCACTCCGCGCGCTGTCCCCAAAGGTTTACTAAGTGTCATATATTTCAAAGGATAGCATGATACAGTAGAGTGATAAACAACATACAGCGCGTTCAAAGCATTTATTGTGCTTTATTCGTTGGGCAGCTAACTGGATTACCGAACAGTTTTTTTCGTCATGACTTTGGTAGAATCGACGCACGATTGATTTTCGTCATTTTCGCAAAACTTGTTTGATCGCAAACTTGAACATATCAAAACTATAAAATACCCGGGGGGGTGGTCGACCCCGTTTTAGATAGGTACGTGCCGCCAGCGGTCTAAAATTACCCTGATCCTGTTTAAGACACTAGAAAGTGAAAATCCATACCCTGTTCAAGACAAATCGGAAAAATACTTCGCTATCTACGCTACAATCTTCAAAACTGCAATTAAACTGACATCCATCAAAGACAATAAGAAGTTTTTGATAACACGTTAATCCTGCTACAGTGACAATGGTATTTCTACTAATTCTACGGTATTTCTTACGAAAWTATTACCCTGTCTAAGACACACAAAAAAATATWTCGTTTTTTATCTAAATTGTAGAGCCTGTTTAAGACAATTTCGGGTGAAATGTATACCCAGTTTAAGACAGTAAGGCCAAAAACCATACCCTGGCCAGCGGCACGGCACGTCCCCGTATAGCAAATACATGTATAGGGGAGTACCCCCTCCCCCCCCGGGATAAAATACAGCGTTGGAATAATTCTACTGCTTGAAGGCTGGTATTTCTACTGTGGTATTAACTATAATTATTTCAATTTAATATACTTATAAATAATTATCTGCTTTCTCTGACTTTATTCTTTAAGTTTTAAAATATGTAGGGAATGTTTTTCTCTTTGAAGTGTTTACACCCATCTTGACGTTCACGAACACATTCAATGTCTGCAGTGAATTAATTAGCAGAAAAGGTTATTGAGATCACTAAATGCATTTGTTTGACAAATATCACGGAAATCACGGCATCTGCGATAATTTCAAACTTAAAAAGTATGATCAATCTTCGGCTGAAAGGTAACAAAAAGATGTGCCTCGCTTAGCCGCGCTCAAGAAGCCTGATCGATGATCACGTGATCCAAGAGCGCAAGATTCACTTGGCGTATTATACATCAAGGATGATCTGGCATTTCATGGCTTCAATTGCCCTAGTTCATTATCAATCATTTAWACATGATATGTATCAAAACACGATTCACTTAAGTTCTACTTAAGGAGACAATATAAATGGATCCAAATTTTTATTTTTGTGAGCTCGTTTTCCGATGTAAACATACTGCTACGTCATAATGATGTAATGAAATACGGTGAAATTTRTTGATGTATTTTGTTTGTATTTTGAATAAATAACTTTGCTAAAGTATAAACGCGCAATAACAATAAGTGCATTTACCGATTTAGGTAGAAATAGGTGATATTATAAAAGAACTATAAAATATCAGAAATCGGGAAGAAGAATAGAAATTACGTGGGCGCAAGAACTTTCTATAGACTTGTGTTAAGTTCGTATTGCAGTCTAGAGGTCTAATATCAAGACTAATGCCTTGGGCTAACAATTGGTCAATAACAATAATAAAGACATGAAAATTTGATTTGAGTACCATTTACATAAAAACTAATTATAGTAAATTGAAAAATCCAGGTCTCATAAGCTGACAATAACATAATTTTAYAATATAACGATAAAAACGAGAAATGTAACGCAGCTTGATCAGCTGTCTATTGAAATGTTCCACATTTTGATCTCGATATTTTTAGATATTTATTCAGCAATTTTCTGGCCCTTCGGCATAGAAAGGTGGGCAGAGGGAGGGGGGTGGGGGAAGTTGCACGGGCTTTCTCATATCGCAACTGCATGAAAAATAATAATAACAACAACAATAGGTACAGTATTATACACAAGTCTCAATGCTTTACATTTCAAAGAAAAAGAAATAATAAGTATATYTTTTTATATAAGTAATTAGTGTATTCAATTATTTGTTTCGTTCTAGCTGATAGTACTTTCAGAAAACAGAARCGTAGCAAATATAAATTTATAATGAATCAAAGACAAAAAGTAATCACTTTACCGTAATTTTAGAAGTTAGACATATGAACTATATATACGTRAAAAATATCTTAATTAAAATTGTTTTAGCTGCTTTTGTGAGGTCGTGTAGTGACCCCAYTGTCTTTAATTCTACATTTGGTAATATGAGATGTGAGGTCTAAACACTAACTGCTATTTGTCTGCTGAGTCGACCGACAATGTTTAATAATGTGGTGTATGAATAGTTGAGCTCGGCCTCCAGTGTTTGTATAATCGCTCCGACTCACATCTTTGTGTTTCAAKCTCCCCAAATGCCTTAAGTATCATTTTCAAATAAGTTAATGTGCTGTCCACTCGCCCTCCCCCATTCCCCCACATAAGAATGAAATGATACCCGGACGTTAGCAATATTGATTCAATTGCTGTCCCCACCTATCAATATTAGACCAAGTGGTCTCACACGTCAATGCATGCGTGATCACACAGGAGGATCGTACAATTGTGGGCATTAAGATAGCTATCCAATACGTGAAGTTATCATTTCGGTCGTACTCTCATCAGACCAGCGAGACCCAGAGAAGAAGCCTGAAGACTAAGTTTTGTCAAGATGAACACTCTTCTCGCCGTTGCTGCTTTGATTGCTGTAGTGGAATCATCCCCATACCATTATGTACAGCCGCCGAGTAAGTAATTCAGTGTAATGTCGGTTTGTTTTAGGCTTCCAAATTATCATGTATTCTTGGCGGATTTGTTTTCTAAACTTGTATTTGGGCCAAAAACAAAATTTCATTCTAAGGGTGAGTTTGTTGTTTCGCTGAAATTAAGAGAATTTTATCATATAGCGTTCTTTAATCAATTCATTGAAATGCTTTTAAATTCACCGCGCGCAAAAAAGAGCGCAACAATCAGTGCAATTTTGGTGAACAAAAATTTTCGTCTTGTTATTCATTCTGCCAATATTCAATTTGTGTACAGTAAGTCAAATATCTTAACTAAAAAACCTTCGATAAACGTTTTATAAATCCTGCGTCAACTTTTTCAGRTATAGTGTCTGGAATTTTCTTTCGSAACTTATATTAAAAGTTTTATAACCATGTAGGTCGCTAGCTCAGGATTTGCCTTAAATTTAGTCATCGATTATTGCTATTGTTGTGAATTCAGATGAGCCTCCAACATTTGATTAACCTTCCAAGTCTGTTTTCGGCGGTTCTTTYCCTACGGCTATCGGTATCATCAGTACCACAGGAGTGATGACTCCAAAAATTATAATTTCGCAAAATGGCTAGATGCCTCTGAAAAACGTGCTCTTACAAGACAACAAGACAACAAGTTAAATACCGTATTTACTCGAATAGACGCCTCCCCCGAGCAGACGCCGCCCTCAAATAGACGCCGCACTTAAAGCTCAAAATATTAATAGACGCCGCCCCCGAATAGACGCCGCATCTGGTTGCGGCGTCAATTTGAGGAATTAATGATACCAGAAATGGAATTTATTTTGTTTTAGAGCATTTTTCATTTCGAAGTGACTGTGCCAAACGCAGCCAGAACATCGGTTTGGCGAGGACATTTTAATACGCACCACTGGATGGTTCGTCATAATAGCCTCACTTCCAAAGAGACAAAACTAGTTCTTCTCGATTGTTCTTCTCCCGACAGGTGACGAACCATCCAGCGTTGCGTATTAAAATGTCATTTGCTGGGCATAGAAGCCGCTAGGACTGCATCATTAAGCTCGACTAGGCGGCAAARACAGCCTTCTGGAAGAAATCAGAGGTGGAAAGCGATTTTTTTTACCTGGTTTTCGAATTTTCTTTCCCCCACCTATAAAATATAGSTGAGGGAAAGACAATTCGAAAACCAGGTAAAATCGCTTCCTAACGGCTTCAAACTCCGCCAAATGATAAAAGACACAACAAGTTATCAAGCTGAGTCATTTTTACTCTTAAAAACACAAACTTAAAGAAATCAAATTTTGACCGTTGAAGTCACATATAAATATTATGAAATGAGCTTGGGTGTTGCCTGTGCTCAAATTCGCCGTGCGTTGAAATTTGCATTTCCTCAGGTATTTGAATTGACATTAGTTTGATTGACAGCGCCTTATTTGGAAGTTAAGCAATTTATGGAAGTCTAATACACAAAAAAACTACAAAATTAACAAATTTATTACCGTAGGGAATGAGTTAAACAAAATCTATATTGACCGTGTGATCAGATAGTGACTGATGTAATCAGCCTAGAGCCGCTTTCACCATGTAATGAGAAACAACTTCAAATTTTTTTTCTATAGACATTGGTCAAAAATGATGATCCACCTTAAGAGATTATTCCGTCCACACAAATGAAAACACTCAGAGCACATCAGAAATATATTTATGCTCTCGAATAATGAATGTTTTTGCTTTCAGCTCAACCTCCATGCCCTTCTGTGGCCAATAACTTTTGCGATTCTCGCGCTGACCAATACTACGGGCATCCTAGCGATTGCGGATGCTTTATACGGTGCGTTAGTAACGTTATCCATGGGCCGCAAGTATGTGCTGCTGGTACTGTSTTTTGTCAARAGMWRCAGACGTGTATTCAYGGGTAGGAGACTTGATCTGTTATTATTATCTCATTTTAATTCATGGATTTCTTTCAGTGTGTCCAATTATGCYGCAAATCGGCGTGTATTCAGTTTTATTATAGCTATCATAGTACAATCTATGACCGGTAAACGCACGGATGCGAACGTGCTATAAATCAAAAGGCTGAAAATCTCTATAAATCTCTYACTCCGGTGGCGATTTCAGGGCATGGGTTTAGTTTCTCAAAATAATGCTGTTATTAAAAGAATAAGCGCACTTATTCCTTGAACATGGTGAAGCATACACACTAAAACAGAATATGTTCTAAATTATGATAGTGTTTCCCATTGTCTAACAATATCCTCTAGTAGTAATTAGTACTATTTGTTTTGTACTTCAAAGTGAGGCTAAGGTTCACATGATGGTGGTAGTGATCATGTTGATCGCGATGATGACGATGATGATGACGATTATAATATATTGTGGCTGATATAGTACAGCGAAATGCATTGTTTCTAATGTCAGCTTTCTATTAGGAATCGCGCCACATGTACCCTAGCCTCTTGGGCAACTTGCGAAGTCCCACMTACAGTTACCGTCCAAACACCCACACGTAAGTGCTGACTTGACAATTCAGTATAGTTTCTCATCAGAAACTCATTGGAGGATTGGGACGTGTATTAACCGCTGACTCTCGTTTTGCTTCGAAATACTCGATTTGTCCGTTTTTCTTGATTATTAAACAATCTGACTTGAGTAACGCTTAAAAATTCTACAAATTAAAAAGACAACATAACATGTTGAATGCTGAATGCTGAACGCTGAAATTGTCTTATTATCTTTGTAGGTCCTGCGTCAAATTGCACCGGCTACAATSAAGATCCACTTAATTTCTGTGGAAATCAATATTGCGCTGGCAAGCCAAACAGTTACTACCACCACTGCACTTACCACTTCGCGTATCCAAACGATTGCACATGCTTCTATCAGTGCCGTGCCGTTGACACAATCACACACATCATGCCTTGYCCTTATGGTACTCATTGGAGTCAAGCCGACTTGACCTGTGTTCACGGAGGTATAACAATTTGAAATATTATCTCAGTGTTTCTTATCCTAGAGATTTATTTATCATCTAACTAAGAATTGACTGGGGCATAAACACAATAATGAAAGAAATGAAAATTGTGCCTCACTGAATTCTTAGTTAGTTGATAGAGTACAAACATAATATGTGTGCAATACTTTCCACTATTTACTACAAAATACTGTTAATTAAACAATAGAAAACAATAGAATYAGGATAATTTAGCAGTATTCAGTGGTATGTTTATGTTACACAGTTTTAGAGTGGTTTTCATTAACCCGTGAAATACACTTTATTACACTTTGTCTCTTTTTTTTTCTATTATATTTCTTGGCTATTACACTTTATTACACTTTGACTATTACACTTTGTTTCACGGGTTAATGAAAACCACTCTAGTGTTTGTACTCTAACTAAATCTTATCAGGCGCTAATTATTTAAGAATTGTTTCACACTTATGTGGTGTGCACTGTCGGATTTGGAAGTTTGTTATTGCTATTTTTGTAATCGTTTGTTGCATAAATCTGTATCCAAACAACGATCGATTTTCCATGATTCGGTAGTTGTCTTCTAGTTTCTCGTCTTTATTTGGAGGGAGGAAATAGTTTACGGTGATTTGTTTTTATGGCTTGTGGTTAATTCTGAGCCGTTTTCAGCTTTGTTTTYCCGTCATTCTCTACACTTGCTTTTTTAATTGTTCTATTTCTTGTTCTATTTGTTATATTTGACGGCGGATTCTTTTGATTTTTTTCATGATGCATTTTAGATAGCCTGTGTTGTATATAGAAACATTTTTATGACCAAYATTTTTTATTTATCATTAATAAATATCTTTTTTACAGCGTGTTAGAAAAAGCCAACTACRCAAAGTTATTAGGTAGGTTTATAACATCAGTGAGTTATTACTGTAAATATGCTGATAGAAACTAACCATAAAATAAGAAACGAAGTATAGCACAAAGTTACTGCTCAATAATTATCAAGAGACGTGGTTGAGAAATGAGAAAACAGGGGGAAAAGTTACTCACGTCCCGCCCAAATGATAAAAAGTCATGTCAAACCCCTCTCCATCCCCCCTCCCCCAGCAAGCATAACTTATAACAAGGTACAAGTCTGCTCTTGGACCCGAAGTGTCATATGTCTGAGCTTCTTTGTGCGATTATATACCAAATATTGCACAAAACCGCTCAAAATATCTAAGCGATTTTGGGCGATTTTGAGATCTTTTGAGTCCTGGAGAAGTCGTCATAAATAACTTTGAGAGACTTGCGGCGTTTTAGCAAACATCTATATGCTTTGGGGCGAGTTGGGCTGGTTTTATATGCTTTGGGCGAGTTGGGTCGGTTTTATATGCTTTGGGGCGAGTTGGGTTGGTTTTATATGCTTTGGGCGAGTTGGGTTGGTTTTATATGCTTTGGGCGAGTTGGGTTGGTTTTATATGCTTTGGGCGAGTTGGGTTGGTTTTATATGCTTTGGGCGAGTTGGGTTGGTTTTATATGCTTTGGGCGAGTTGGGTTGGTTTTATATGCTTTGGGCGAGTTGGGTTGGTTTTATATGCTTTGGGCGAGTTGGGTTGGTTTTATATGCTTTGGGCGAGTTGGGTTGGTTTTATATGCTTTGGG